TAAAAGGGGACCCAAGCATAAGGGACGTGCTCCAATGAAGTTATATCAAATTGGTGTACCAATGGAAAGAGTAGCCAAATCAGGAAGCTACAACAGTAGCTTCGGCTATTAGTGATTTCTTCTTTAGATTTGGTATGCCATACGAACTGCATTCAGATCAAGGCCGTAACTTTGAATCAGCTCTGTTCCATGAATGCTGCAAGTTGTTTGACATACGAAAAACCAGAACAACGCCACTTTATCCACAGTCTGATGGGATGGTAGAAAAGTACAACTGGACACTGGGACAGGCGGTGGGTGCCTTCCCTCTGATCTATCAGTTCAAAATTAGAGACAGCTAGCGAAGTTATCCTTTGAGTAGCTTTGCAGAAATATCTGGCAACAGACAAGTATTTTTGGCCATTTTCTTAATTTAATTTTACTTAACTATTTTATACTTTATAACAATAAATTAAATATTTACTTCCATATTTTTCCTTTCAGTTTTTTAATTGATTAACAAGAAAACTAAACAATAACAACAAAGAACTAAATTAATTTACAACGCCACCTTTGATGTGTGTCTATTTCTTTACTTAGAGTAACTGGTGCAGTCGAAGTGCGGCAAGATAGTTTTTGGAAGATTAATTCTCTGAGAATATGGTTTTAGATTTAGAATTATTTCGTGCCGATAAAGGCGGAGATCCTATAAAAATTAGAGAAAATCAAGCAAAACGCTTTAAAGATGTTGCTCTTGTGGACAAAGTTATCGAATCGGATTCTCAATGGAGGAAATGTAGGTAACGCTAATACTATTAGTGAGTGTTACTACAAACGTAGGATACTTATTCCACATGCAGCCTATTCCACGGTGGCAAAACTATGATCGGTGTGGTTGGGGTTCACGTTATAGTAATAAGGCCTAAACCGTTCATGAAATCATGGAAAACGTTACGTCAGCTCAACATGACGCCAACGTAAAGTTTCAGCTCTAATTTGTAAACTTGTTTTGTGGAAATATATATTCTTTTTTGATTAGTAATTCAACGTTTAGGTTTGCAGAGAACGGTATTTATTTTAGCGAATTTCAAGAATGGTTTAAAATTTTTTACAGCTTGTAACTTTAAACATTTTCCTGTTTAACCGTGATAAAAGTTAAAACTTCATCGTTCCTCATTATCCCCATGCTATTGATATGCAGTCATGGCCTAGTAGTGGCGTTTTAACAAAACATTAGCTAACTTTATTGGAAAATGTTTGCCATGCTTTTTAATATGCTGGCATAACTATGTATCTGATAAATTAATTACATACAAGATGTTTGGATGCAATAAAACTACAATATAAAGCCTGTAATAATTTTAGAAGAGGAAGTAATTAACAACCATGTATTATAACATGAATCATATTTTATAGTTAATGGTAAAATAATCATTATTAAAGATGTAATGTTTAATGTAAAAATATTTTTAACGCTTTAATACATATAATCTACCGCTGTACCAGTGTCATGAGATTGTCTGCTGCATGTTTGAAAACAGAAGATTTATGGAATTATAAATTTGAATCATTCATTAGATCATATGATAGGTAGCTCACAGTAATGATTAGACAAATTCATTATACATAAAATTACTGAGTTTTTGCTGGAAAGTACAACTTACAGTTATATCATTTAGTACAGGAAGAACTACAGAATTGGAAGTAAGTATGAAAATACACAGGTGATACACACATAGAAGTCACAAACAATGAATAATTGTAATTAAAGGTTCAATTTATCATTAGTACAGTATATTTAATATTACAGAGCACACAAATACAAATATGTTATGCATTTTGTCTATAATGTATTTGCTTTAAACAGAACAATACACCTTCTTTTTATGTTGCCGTAACCTTTATCAGCATATTATTTTGAAATATTTTTCCTAAAGTCCTGCATTACTCCTCGCAATTCAGCCAAGTTGTGTGGTTGCTGTTTGATCTTCTTAGTTGCCATATAAGCCGTATAGCATAAGAGTTTTACTTTTTTGTAGAAGAAACTGGATTGTGATGGTTTGATTCAGGTGCTAAAAATTGTTTGAGTTTAGACAAACTTCTTATGGTATGTGTGTTTTAGTGGATGATTGGAAAGGTTGTGAATATAAACAGTAATAGTGGTAATGGATTTAAGCTTTGTAGATGCGAACTTGTTTTTGCCATTATTATTTTGGAATTGTAAGATTATGAAAAGGTTTGCCTGGTGATGAGGTTTGTGAAGTTACTGTGAGTTATTTCTCATTTTGGTGGATAAGTTTATGAATGTGAAGAGATATGTTTAAGTTGGATTAAAAACTCAAACAGAATTAAACATTTTTATATTTATTTTTATGTTGAGTAACCTAGGTGTGCCAAATGACATTTTTTCTTATTGCTTTTTTTCTTGTATTTATGAAAACATAATGTAACATTTTATTTAGTAACTGTATTTCATTGCAGTACGCTATTCTCTAGACAATTGGAACAAACTGAAAAACCTATGCAGTAAAGACATTGGGACCAAAATGAAGGTAATTTGAATTATATCAATTTTTGCACCATCTGTTAGGCCTATATTATACATCTTTATTTTAAATATGCATGGATTGATTATAATATAATGTGTAACCCAATCAAACAAATTATATTAAACCTGATAATCATCATTTTAGAGTTTTTATGTGTCAAACGTTGTTATTAAGAAGAAATATTATTCTTCCAGGTACATGTTTATTAATATCTATTAGACTGTGTGACCAGAACATTTGATGGTATGGTATTTAGTGTTTTAGATTATTTAAAATTTATTTTTATGCTGAATACAGTTGGTTTTCTGTTTATTTTCCAGAACAAAGAACCAATAGGAGAGAGTGATGAACTTTCAAATAATGTTCTAAACAAGCTGAGTGAACTAACTTCTGAAATCTTGCAGGTGAGTAATATTTATGGTTAGAGGATTAATTCATGAAAGAAAAAATGTTTAATACAATAATCTATCTGGTACAAACAAAGTACTAAACTTTTACAAATCCAAGTAGCTGTTCAATGAAGAGAGAGACTGAAGTGCCTTTCCAGTAATAAATCATGTGTCAACATCTTTTATTTATTGGTGAGTAGTTAATTTAGTTAAAGTGCAAATTGTACTCTTGACCTCAACAGTTAATTTTCCTGTTGTCTAATTATGCAACAGTATTTAAATATTTAAAAGGTAAGGCTCATTTGGTTTGATGAATTTAAAATAAGACCCAAAACTCGAGCACTTTCGAATAGTTTACTATTCTTCTTCAGCTTTGTTCTCCTGAAGAAGAATAGTCAACTATTCGAAAGCGCTTGAGTTTTGGGTCTCATTTTAAATTTATTACACTTTATATGTGATCCTTTGTGCTAACTTTTTTATCAAGAGTGGTTTGATGAAATCATTCAACAATATGAAATACTTAAGAATTGCTAAGTGTTGGCAGTTTATGGCATTTTAATTAGGCACAAAATATATGTGGTGTTATTTACAAAGTATAATCAAAGAATGTAGGTTTCAATCCCTGAGAACCTAACATAACTGATAAAAATGAAAGTGCTTTCTTGGCACATAAAACTAGCCAGGACATGAAATGTGAAGCTCATGGTGTGTTTTTTTCACCACTTTACTAATGAGAATTATAAAACATTAATTTCAACCTTCCAAAGTCTATTTAACTAAAATAAAAAATGTTCTCTCTTTGAAGATGTTTTTAGACTTTACTTAAGGTTTTTTCGGTAACGTTTGTAATTGAATTTTTATTGTGAAAATAGTAAAAGTTTTTTTTTAGCACTAATGCATTTTGTATATATAATGCTGTACAAATCTTGCATTTCTCTAGAATACTTAATAGTATGGACAACTTGCTTATGTAGTTGGGATGGTGAATGTCATTTTGGGTCATGCATGTTCTCTTTCTTTGGATTAACACAATCTGGTAGAGCATAGAGTTATATGAGTGGTACGTGTCCATAAAGGGGCTTTGTGCTTTTTCTTCCTCTATATATTTAATGTCAAAATAATAAAAAGAAATTTTGCAAAAATTAAATGTGATGTAGGGATGGCAATGCCAAAAAGTACAGAAACAAGTTATGGATGAATACACAAAACCATACAAAAATCCCTACACTAGTTGCCAGTAAGTACAAGGTTATGTTTATTAGCCACTGTAAGACTATATAACACTACTTAGTTTAAATGCTTTTATTCAAACCTGAATTCATGCAACTGACAGGAATTCAACATTTAATTGTTGATAAAAGTTATTCTTGGAAATATTTGGCTACTTATGTAGTGATTTTTGTATGGTTTTGTGTATTTATCTCTTCCTTCTTTCTGTACTTTTTGGCATTGTCATCCCTACATCATACTTACTTTTTACAAAATCTTTTTTGATTACTTGTCTCCCCCTATTTTTTTTAAACAATTTCATTTAAGTATTAGGTCATCAAGAAATTAATGTCAAGTTTTGGAAAACTAATTAATCACCCCACCCCCCAAAACATACATCATGTATAATAGTTAAACAGACCACTTCAAATTAGTGTAGCCTATATAATGTGTAAAGTTTAGTATACTCTAATCCCTTATAGTAATGGCACATGATGAGACACACATTTGGCATGTAATGCTGATTGAATACAAGAAGGGAAACAACACCTCTGTAGCTACAAAGAAGTTTATGGAAATGTTTTAAACATTCAAAAAGTGTAAACAGTGGTTCAGCAAATTTCATTCAGATGACTTTAGCATTAAAAACTGATGGCAGGGGCTGACATGTTGGATTTGATATTGATGCTTTGAAGATGCTTGTTGAGTCTAACCCAAGGCAACACACTTGTGAACACACACTCCGTTTCCAACGTGTGAACGTTGCTTCATCTCTTCTGGCACATAATGCACGTGAACCATTTTTGGACAGAATTGTCACCGGTGATGAAAAATGGATTCTCTATGTGAATATTAAATGCCAAAAACAATGGCTCAGTCCTAGACTAAAACCACTTCCGACCCCAAAATCTGGACTCCATCCGCAGAAAGTGATGCTTTGCATTTGGTCGGACATCAGAGTAATAATTCATTTTGAACTCCTCAATCTACAGCAAACTGTCAATGCAGAGATCTGTAGTCAGCAACTGGAACATTTAAATCAAGCCATTCATCAGAAACACAAGATTACGGAGTTGGGTTGGGAAGTTCTCCTCCACCCACCATATTCTCCAGTTATGGCAACATCAGATTACCTTCTTTTTCGTTCACTGCAACACCCTTTTAATGGGAAAACATATGCAAATGTGGAAGGTGTTAAAGAGGACATTGACATGTTTTTGCTTCAAAGCCAAGTGATTTCTTTAATCAGGGCATTAACAACCTGATTGTAAAATGGAAAAGCATCATCTATAAGAATAATAATAATATAATAATAATTTAATAAATGTTTTGTTTTGATATATAAATTGTTTGGGCTTTT